AAAAAAAAAAAAAAAAAGACTATATATAAAGTCCTAAAAGTTCTGAAAGCATATTAATGAGAATTCTATAAATTCTGGAAACATGTATTGTGGTTGAAATTGAAATAACACATCAACTTTTATCTAAGTACACTTAACATTAGGCTAGATTTAGAAATCTTCTCCTATGTTTTGTCAATGTAGGTATAGACAGAATTTTTTTTTTTTTTTAAGATGGGGTTTCACCATGTTGGTCAGGCTGGTCTTGAACTCCCCACCTCAGATGATCTGCCCGCCTTGGCCTCCAAAGTGCTTAGATTACAGGCATGAGACACCACGCCCGGCCATAGGCAGAATTTTTAACGGTTATAATATCACAGAAGCATAGAATTGTAGAACTCACAGGTATATTGGAGAGGATCTGGCCAAAGCTCCTTGCTTGAGGCTCAGAGAAGATAAATAATCATTCAAGTTTATGGGATGACTTGGCTTTAAGGTTATGCCAGGTCTTAACTCTGGCCTAGTGTACTCTGCTCTGTACTATACCTCTTCTGATGCCCAAAAATGATTTTTTTTCTTATGGACATTTACAAGTTATCTTTTCTACTTTCAATTCTAAATAGATCATGAAAACTGCCTTTCTTAGAAGCATCAAATTACACAAAATTCCCCATATTGAGCAGAATTCTGATAGAAAACGTCATACTTACCTAGCCTTCCCAATTGCATGTGTTTATGAGAGTTATTAGCACGGTGCTGGGTTGCCTCGACGCAACATTCGGTGAAAGCTTTGACGCATCTTGGGCCTACGGTAATCCGTGCAGCTCGCTGCTCACAGGTTTCGTCATAGTTAGCACGGGCTCCATCGTAACAACATTTCTTCACTACTGAATTTTTGTATTTAGCAGCTGAAATGGTAATAATGCAAGTGCCATTGATCACGCAGAGTCATAACATCCCAGGCTTAGAAGGAATCTCAGGGGATATCTGGTTTCTATTGCTATATGATCCCCCTACCCACAATAGTCATGGCTAGATGACTGTTCAGACTTCCCTTGAAGCTATTCTAAGAATGGAGAGAATGTGACCTTACCAAATGGTCCATTCCAGCTCACACTAAATGGTTAAAGGGTTTCCTGCAACCAAGCTAAATACTAACTCTTTTTTTTTATTTTTTCAGATGGAGTCTTGCTGTTTCCCAGGCTGGAGTGCAGTGGCATGATCTCGACTCACTGCAACCTCCACCTCCCCGGTTCATGCAATTCTCTTGCCTCAGCCTCCCGTGTAGCTGGGATTACAGGCGCACGCCAACATGCCAGGCTAATTTTTGTATGTTTAGTGGAGATGGAGTTTCACCATATTGGCCAGGCTGATCTCAAACTCCTGACCTCGTAATCCACCCACTTCAGCCTCCCAAAGTGCTGGGATTACAGGCGTGAGCCACCACGCCCAGCAGATACTAACTCTTGAAACTGGCACTTTGGATTCTGCTGAAAATAAGCAGAAAAATATAGACAAAGAATATAAATATTTTTAATAAAATAAGTTAAATATCCAAGAAGCCTTCAAATATTTGAAGATGGCTACATCACTATACAGATATTTCCTTCTTCAAGATGAATATCTTATTTTTCAGCAACGTCTTACCTAACATGGTTTGTGGGCTTTACTAGCAGCATCATCCTTCATTGTAAGTGCTCAGGTTAGTCAGTGTCTCTCTTTACATATCATTAGATCTTAGAATAAAGGTTAGAATTAAAATAACTCATATACAAATGGAATAAATTATTATATTACTATAAACATGATATAGTTGAAGGCAATTTGCTGACTCCCAATTTGATATTCTTTCTACTGTAACATGGTCAATATCATAACCATTTAAATAATTATTTTAAAATAATTCCCACAAGATGTATTTTCAAAGAATAATGCTACTAACAGTTAAATGTATGAAATAGAACTAATGGACTTCTAGGTATGTCCCCAAAACTGTCAAATCATAGATTTTGTCAGAATAAAATGGAAGAATATTATTTTAATTGCTAGATTAAGTTTTTAGAGAGAAAATATTTATGACAAATAAAAGCTAATATTTTGGGTTTTAGAGCTAGAAGTAATGAAGGCCTATTTCCTTAGGTTAAGGCTATGGTAAATGAACTACTAGATTTTATTTGGATTACTCTTTCTGAGAGAGATGAGCTAGACCTCCATATATATCTTTCTTTTCATCCATTCTATTTCAATTAGGGGAATTTATATAACATTTAATTTTGTCCAGTTTTTGAATGATATGACCATAACCTTTTTTACAATCACATGAATCTAAGAGTACCTATTTCCTCTATCTTCTTTTGCAGCATCCTTCTTGGCCTGAGAATTTCTTTACAAGGTGCATCTGGTTTAAAAAGAGAGAGAGAAAGAGAAAGAAAGAAAAAGAATAAAAAGTAGTTAACATCTCAAAAAAAATTTCAGGAAACTAAGTATTTAAAACATTCATAAGTCATTAATTAACAAATACTGAGAGGCTGCTTTGGATTAGGAACTGTGCACCATACTTCTTAATATGACTTGTTTTATCTTAGTAGAGTTCATGATCTAGTGTCATATCATTTGACTTGTTTTATCTGAATTTGGTTTTGAATCCTGTAGTCTTTCTAGTCCACTGATTCCAGAGAAATACCTAAGCATTTAGAATGACTGATGCTTTTGCTGGGTATGCCATTTTTTATTATTTGCTCTTTGTGTTATAGTATTACAAATATAAGTATGAATATCATAGTATCAAACATAATTATGAGTAATTTTAAAACCATAGAAAGAAGATGATTAAGAAGTGGTTATTATCCTTAAAGAGTTCCCTATGCAGTAGGTGAGACAGGACTTATAACTACATGTAACAATGTGCAATGACACAGTGCTGTTCTATTACTTGTAAATAGATCTAGTCCCTGCAATAGACTCCCTATTAAAGGAGGAGGGAATGATAAATTCTAAGTTGGGAAGAGGTCTCATAGAGGGGATGATTCTTACATTTGCTTCTCCAAGCTAATGAAGGGGAAAGCAATCCAAATAAATAAAGGCCCAAAGGTGTAAAACAGCAACTCAAGAACTCTACTTGGTTCTGTAGAGCATAAACATAACATAAGGCACAGCAGGGTAAAAGCTAGCTGGAAAGAGCCAAGGAGAAGATCATGGAAGGCTTTGAATACTACACTAAAGAATTTGTACTTTATCTTGAAGGTCAGTGCAACACTTTATACAGGTGAGTTATGCAGTTTTGGCATTCTAAGATCAGAGTAGAGAATATTCTGAAATAGGGACAAAAATGAGATCTGGGAGGCAAATGATCAATGTGATTTTCAGTAATAAATGTGCTGAGCGTTATACCATTTTCTTGGGAGTCATCTGCATTTGCATTAGTGAGGAAGGTAAGTCCAGCTAGGCGGAACACGTCTGCATTGTTGAGGCCACCACCTGCCCCACAGCCCAGATCACTCTTCTCTAAATATTGAAATACCTGTCCAGAAAGGCAAAATGTTGAGCCTATTGAGATGTATACATCATTCCTCTAAAGAACTAAAAGGTACTAGTTGTTACATGGTTATCACAAACCAGTGAAATACACAGATGGTATTTTTTAAATGTTCAAAGACAAAATTTCTCAACTTTGTTTCTAAACTTGTCCTTTTGTATTTATAAATTCATACCTATACAAAATTAAATCAAGAACTAAGTCTTAGACAAATAGCTTAGAAACTGACCTACAGTGTTTTGTACATAGAATGAATGCTGCAATCAGTATAACATTCCAAATAAATAAATAATAGGTATGAATGCATGAAGGACTGGATTAACAATGAAATTAATTTTAAGTTGCTTAAAAAGCACAACTTTGTGCATTTTGGTAGGGAGGTCTCTAGGTTCTAAATGGGTGAGGACTTGTTTGGGTAGGCTTATTCGTTTTAATTTTGACGCCAAATGTTCTTTTCTCACCAAATATTTTTTAATTTTACAGTTTCTCAGTCCTTCCTTCTTTTCTTATTCAAAGAAATTCAAGCCTAGAAAATAATAGCTGAACGTAATTAAGATAAATGGTAACTTATGAGAATTGAATGATTTTGAAATTCTTCTGTGCCATGAATTTCAATGAGAGTTTAAAAAAAATCCAAATGTTACCTATCCAGTTCTTTTCGGTGCTGCTACTAGCTAGTATAACCACCATCACCACCCTACCTTAAACCTCCAAAGTATTCTGATAGTAATTTTTCCTCCATTGAATGTATTGATGCCATGATCATATATTCTTAAAGTGCTTACATTTACATTTGAAAAACAGGAGAGGATTGACCTGTGCTTTGGGAGCTAACATGAGGATGGCTTACCTTCCTAAAAGCAAGTACGATGAGTAGGTAATAGAAAAGCAGGCCTAGTCTTCCCTTAGTTCTTCCCCCATATCCTAGCCTGATTGCCACACTACATGCAGCACTGCAGTGAGACATGCATTACTTAACTCTTTCCAAGGGCTTTTTGGCTATTCTTTGGACTCCATACACAGCACGGTCCACTGCTGTTAATGCCACCCAGGAATCCATCCTAGTTTGCATATCAAGAGACACAGTTTGGCCTGGAGAATATGCATCTGAATCAGGAGACAGATGAACCTAAAAGTTCATTTGAAAAAAAAAAAAAAAGATTATTTGTATGAGACAAGACTTTTCAGAGGCAGCTAAGACTTTGGCAGCCTCCTTCACTGAAAAGAAAATTCATTTGTGGCTTATAATTTGTGGCTTACCTGGAGCTGGTTGCCACATTTTTCTTCAATATTTAACCAGACTGAGTCAGACACTAATTCTGCTGTCTGCTCTCCTGTGACGATGTAATAGACCAGGAGTCGGGATGAAGGAACCATGTTCTGTGTAACTGGAATGTTTATACTTTGATAAGATGCATCTGAAAATTTCTCCCTCGTGCCAAAGTATATGATTTTGCCCTTGGATAAAATCTAAAAAGAAACAGCAGCAGCAACAATAAGTAAAAAACAAACGAAAACAAAACCTGTGCTTTAGGATGGAGCCTAGAGCTGGAGCAGAAATTATGTTAAGGAAAAATAAAGTTAGGCCAGGCACAGTGGCTCACACCTGTAATCCTAGCACTTTGGGAGGCCAAGGTGGGCAGATCACTTGAGGCCAGGAGTTCAAAGCCAGCCTGGCCAACATAGCAAAACCCCATCTCTACTAAAAATACAAAAGTTAGCCAGGTGTGGTGGTGCACACCTGTAATCACAGCTACTTGGGAGGCTGAGGCTGGAGAATTGCTGAAGCCCAAGAGGTGGAGGTTGCAGTGAGTCAAGATCATGCCATTGCACATCATCCTGGGTAACAGAGCAAGACTCTGTCTCAGACAAACAAACAAAAACCAATTTTGGCTGGGTGCAGTGGCTTACGCCTATAATCCCAGCACTTTGGGAGGTCAAGGCGGGTGAATCACCTGAGGTCAGGAGTTTGAGGCCACCCTGGCCAACATGGTGAAACCCCATCTCTATTAAAAATACAAAAATTAACCTGGTGTGGTGGTGGGTGCCTGTACTCTCAGCTACTCTGGAGGCTGAGGCAGGATAATTACTTGAACCAGGGAGGTGGAGGTTGTAGTGAGACAAGATGGTGCCACTGCACTCCAGCCTGGATGATAGAGTGAGAATCCACTAAACAAAGGGACGGGAAGAAGGGAAGGGGAGGGAGGGGAGGGGGGAGGGGAGGCTTGATTGATCCACCTCTGTTTAATATAAATGATGCAATAGGGATGTTGCCGAATTATAGAATCGGAACAGGCAAGATAGGACTCAACTTTCGGGAGAGGACTTCACTTCTCCCTTTTTTGACAGTAAAATGCACTTACCTAAACTGGGTCTAGGCATGTATTTTTGGCCATGAAAGAGAGCAGAGGCAACATGATTTAATCAGGTTCTGTCTTGGAATAACCAGGCTCTCCTTGGTAAAAAGAGTTACTAGAACAGGAGTCAGAGTCCTCAGCTCAAATGAAAATCTTCCTCTTCCCAGCTAAGTGACCATCATAAGTCTTTTAACTTCTCTGTCTCTCAGTTTCCTCATCTGTGAAATGGTCATGAAAATCATGCCCTATTTCGAAGGTTTTTTGAGAAACTGATATTCAAGTTAGATGACGTTCTCAAAAGTGCTTTGTAAATACAAGTATAAAGAATCATTCTAATGCTTCTCTAGAGGTAAAGGAAAATGTTCCAGCTGGGGGAATAAGATGTAAATCCATCATTATGTACTTACCAAGTAATTATAGTGAGTTATTTTGTCAATATATGGGCTTTTGGGGGTAACAATAATATTCATATGTTCTCCCACTAGCAAAGCCTTATGGTTATCAGTCCAATCGATATAAAGGTAACTTTGGCTGAGAGATGAATATGCTACTGCTCGGTAACCTTCCCTGGCCTGATTTTCTTCTGGAAGATCTGGAGCATCAGTTTCGACCTGAAAAGGGAAATTTCAAAAAGACATGTGTACTGTGATGTAATGCTTTCTACAAAGCATACCTTTCAAATTATTTTCTTTGCTTTATAAATTTCTAAATTTCACAATACCAAATGCTAAAGGGGGAAAAAAAAAACCTTTATTACTCCAGTGTTTATACAGCTATGGTATCAAACAACTTTACAAAGACTACAGACAAGAATGACGGGATTATGGGCTATGGCAGAAAAGTCTGAAATGAAGAGAGAAAGATGCTCCAGGAGTAAATATTGATGGTCTTCCTGAAATGTCATGGTAAGCTGGGGACTTCTCTTCCCGTGGAATGATTACAGAGAGATGTCTAGGCATTTGGGAAATGGGGGTAGGAGAAGGGAAGTAGTAGAGAGGTAGCACTAACTCTTGAGGACTTGGGGACAGGAGCTGTGAATGAACATCTCAGAGACTATCTGGCCCAGTTTCATTGTGAAATAGAGGCACAGATGGGTGCTTATAAACATGAGGTGGAGAAGAAATGATATCATGGCAGCAATATCTGCCCTCAGACAGCAGAAGTGTTATTAGCTCATGCTCTGGAGTCAGATATACACTGGTTTGCATACCAGTACCACCGTTTATTAATTCTGGGTAAATTATTTAATCAAAAGAGAGGTTAGAAGCCTCTATTTCCTGAGCCACACAATAGCAAAGATAATATTATAACTCATCTTGCTAATTAAATAGTTTTTAATGTTTTCTTCATAAAGCTGTTAGCATGATGCCTAGCACTTACTAAGTGCTCAGTAGATGATAGTGAGTATATGCATGCTGCAGTCATTGGCCTGTGTTATTAACTTGCTTATAAGATTGGGAACTTGAATAATAATTGCTGAGAGAGAAGACTATTAAGTGAGCTCTAAAGTAGAATGGTTTCTGCAGTTAGAAAAAAGGGAGACTTCCATATTTTTTACCCTTTTGTGGCCCTTCAGGGGATTAAAAGTGAGGGGAAATAAGAGAATATTCCTAACACTCATATGCACTGCTATACCTATTCTGAAGCTTCTAGAGTCTAATATGGTCTTATTGGTGCAAGAGAAAATAATTAACTCCCAAATAAAAAAAAATTGATACATTTATCTTTCTCAAGCACCATTCAATGGATTAGCAGATTGTCTCTGGAACTCATTTGTCTTGGAAGCAAAATTATGAAACTGTTCACTGGACTCATGTACAAAATCTGCCGCATCTGTTCTGCACACTAGCCAAAACATAGTCTAGAGTACACATTGTCCTACAAAATACAACAGGAGAATTCAGCTCACATTAAACTCCAGCACCGTCACTCCAGATGGGAGATTAATCACAAACGAAGCTACTCCATCATCAACACGTGTTACACTTTTCTTTGGCTCCAAGTCAGATGGTTCTCCGTTTACATCGATTGTTTGTGCATTCAGTGTTACTGGGACCCCTCCTACCAACTGGTCAAGCGAATCCTTAACCTGCACCTGTTCGTCAAAACAGTCCAAATCTGTTTCAACAGCTCATTACTTCTTTCAAAGCACAACAATTCTGAAATAATTTTCCTTCCTCCCAGCCAAAGTATAAATTATTTATGCATTTTTTTCTTATTATTTTTTTTTCTGAGACAGAGACTTACTATATTGCCCAGGTTGGAGTACAGTGGCTATTCACAGGCACAAGCATAGCGCACTGCAACTTTGAACGATTGGCCTCAAACAATCCTCCCACCTCAGCCTCCCAAGTAGCTGGGACTATATAGGCATATACGACCACACCTGATTTACTTATGTTTAATTTAGTAAAGAGAAGTGTGTTCTCAGCTTATAGAAAGATTTAATTCTATTTTGTTAAATCATTCTTGAATGGATTCTCCCATAAATCAAGCAGACTAAAAACATAAATATCATTCTATTAAGTCAGTCAAGAAGTAGATGAGATAAGGTCTTCTGTTATCTAAATTCTGTATTTCTTTAATTAGGTTAGGACTGGATAAAGGAGAAAATGAGACAATCACTTCTGGGAATAAGTCCTTTGAATATGAGAAACAATAAATAGATACGCCTTTTTTCCTTTAACATCTACCTCTCACTGTTACATATATATATATATATGTATATATGTACAATTCCATACAGATATAGTTTATTTTATTTTTATATAAAATACATTTAATGTAAAATATTTAATGTAAAATATTTTATGTATTTTAAGCTTTGTTCTATATAATATTGTTATATGTATATATTTTGTTACATATTGTTATGCATTACTGTATATGCATTATATGATACTTTGTTATATATTATTTTATATATACAGTATATGTATATAAGAACCTATGAGCACGTCCAAACCTTGCTTTGGGCTTGGTAAATCCTTTTTTTTCCTTAAAAGCCCATGACCCACAGTAAATAATAAATAACACACTTTGATTGTACTTAAGTTGATCTTTAAAAGTAACACATTTTCAAAAAACAAAAAAATTTTTTTGCTCTAGCTTTCTAAATTAAGGGCAGGGAATAAAGATTTTCATTTAATAAACATAATGAGCCTGTAATCCCAGCTACTCAGGAGGCTGAGGCAGGAGAATTGCCTGAACCCAGGAGGCAGAGGTTGCGGTGAGCCGAGATCGCGCCATTGCACTCCAGCCTGGGTAACATGAGTGAAACTCCGTCTCAAAAAAAAAATAAATAAATAAACATAATGAAATACATTATTTATAATAAAGTATATAATACAATAATAGATAAAAACCACATGAACGTTTCAATTCTATACTATTAGCATTTAGAAGGCGAAAAGAAGATGAAGGAGAGAAAAATGAAAGCAGAAGGAGTAAACATAAAAAGAAAAAAGATTCAGGGGCAGACAGAAGCAAAAACGAAAAGAACAGAGAGCAATACAGAGACAAGAGATTGAACAGAGTTATGCATAAAGACAACACAGAGACAGAGGGAAACAAATGAGACACACTGGAGGTAAAAAAAAAAAAAAAAAGCAGTGAGAGAAAGGAGTCTATTTTCAAGGAATGATCTCTCCATCTTAAGGCTTTTTAAGAAATTGCCACCAAATAATTTCAAATGTTGTATTTTTTGAACTAGAGACTTAGGGGATTTTATTTACATATAATTTAATGCAATGCTTACTTAGGGTTGCCTAATACAAGCCTATCTTGCCCTAACTTTTGAAGTCACTGCCAAGGCTGCAGCTGACCTGCAATTTCCTGTCCCTGTCTGTGTCTGCCAGGAGAGGCAGGTTTCACAGAATAAGCTCCTTCTGTGACTTCCCATGCAACATTCTTACCTTGTTTGCCACCCACATGTTTTCCATGAACAGAACAAGATGATCATATGTATCAAGATCTACCCCCTCACCCCATCTACCTTGATGGAATATGGAATCCCAGGTTTCAGGAAAAGAGGAGTAGCTACCAAATTCAGTTTGTAGGGAGAGAGGACATATTTGATGCCAGGTATTTCTGCCTCTTCAGAAAATCCACCTAAGGAAATGACAAGCATCATGTTGACAGTTTTTAGGAGTATCATGATCTGTATTGATATCCATTTTTTCTCTATATGTCTCCACAGAGTCATTCACTCACTCACTCCCTTCTTGCATTCATTAATTTGCCAGTAGTAAGTGGGACACAGGTCTTGCTTCAGAGGGGCACTGCAGAGAAGAGTTTAGATATCAGGAGTTTCCAAGGTCTTAAGCACAAGCTCGTATGTAGAGAAGCCCTTGGAGAAATAGAGCTATAGGACTGGACTGAGCAAGGATGCTAGGAAGGGACATCACTTTTCATCAGTGGCCCTAGTTTCAGTTGACTATATTCAAGGGATTGAGGAGAGAGGGAAGGGTCAGGCCACCGACTGAGCCTACAGAGGTGGGGTGGAGTGAGGTGGAGGAGGTGGTGTTCACAGAGCATAAATATATGAAGAGAAATCAGAAAAAGGGAGCTTGATGTAGAAAGAACCCTGAAGGGGAGTTTGAGATGAGCCGGGCCAACATGGTGAAACCCTGTCCCTACTAAAACTATGGAAAAAAAAATAGCCAGGTGTGGTGGTGCATGCCTGTAATCTCAGCTACTTGGTAGGCTGAAGCAGGAGAATCGCTTCAACTCAGGAAGCGGAGGTTGCACTGAGCCAAGATTCTGCCACTGCACTCCAACCTGGGTGACAGAGCAAGACTCCATCTCAAAAAAAAAAAAAAAAAAAAAAAGAAAGAAAGAAAGGAAAGAATAAAAATGAAAGAACCCTTGAAGGTCTACTGGCAAGAGCCCAATAATGTTACCCTCTAGCTAAAGATTAAGTGAAACTATTAAGAATAACATTTGAAGCTTTAATATCCCCAAACTCCTTTCCAATATTACATCTCTAATACTCTCTATACATATCCTATGTTTCAGTCAAACTGGATGATCTGCTGTCCTCAAAAATTAAGCTTCACCATCTACCCTTTTGCATCTGCCCTCTCTATGGAGAGTTTCTGTTTCACCCTGTCTGCCAGCTCTGCCTCAAAAGCCTACTTATTTTCTTAAGACTGATCATCTTCACAACACTGTTCTTGGTTGCTCAACCATCATCTAGAAGCTTGCCTTCCTCTGAATGCTAGTGCATTAATATTTTGCTTAGAGCTTATATGGAATTCTTTCTTTCAACAGCTCTTTCTTTACCTGTCTTATACCTGATGCTGATTTGTAAGCCACTTTAGTGGTGGGATCATACATCATTCATGTTTGTAAGCCTGGGTGTTTGGCAACACTTTAAATATCTCATAGATACTGCTTAAACTGAACTTATTTGAAATACATTGAGGAAAAAATAAAAAGAAGAAACATTAAAATAATGTTGAAAACATTAGGCTTTAGGAAACATTCAGTTTTACTCCATCGTTGTGTAGACTATAATAATGATAATAGTAATACCTTTTATTTGTATAGTACTTTATCAATTAGTTTTACATACATAATCTTACTTTGGTTTTGACTTTCACCAGGTGAGAACATGGGGGTGCCAAATGGTCAAGGCAGAGAGCGTGCAGAACTACTTAAGATCTAAATTGAGTACTGTTTTTCCATTTTTGCAGAAGTGAAGGTAATAGGGACACAATGGCTGGCCCAATGACTACAAAGAAGCAGAGCTCTACAGCCTTTTTATAACTATATGAAAATCTACTTCTTATATTTAACTATGAAAGAAAATACAATGTGAAATAATATAGAAATTTAGAAATTATTAATAAATTTAATATTCTGTCTAAATATTTTTCAAAAGAAAGTGTACACACACACACACACACACACACTCTTACCTGTAGACTCTATGACTGTTACAGCAATATAAAGGTACTTGTCCTTTAAATCCTCTAGGCTGTAGTATGACAGTTCTTTGACTGCCGTTTCAGAATTAAATGTGACTTGAGCAATTCCATTTATCAACTTTTTAAAAGAAGAAAACGAAAGATTTATTTCAGAGAAGAAATTGTAAGGAAAAATTTTAAAAATCTGCTTTTCCTAGCCTCTAAATTGAAGGCAAATGTCAGAAGAATGGTTTAATGCCATAAGTAGAAAACCGAGTCCACAATTAAGCCCAGGATGTTATTTTCTAATTATTTGAATAGAATTATAGAAGTGGAAGACTCTTGAACATCACATGGTCCAACAGGTCTTTTTGGTACTAGCTGACAAACATGCCTTCTTCCAATCCTGAGTCATCATTCATCTTTCTAGGCCTCTCAGCGTACTTCTGCACTTAACTGAGAGTTTGTTGGTTTTTATAAGATTTAATTTGTACTTCATGGCTTACAAATTTAAATACTAATTTAAAAACACATGACCAGGCACTGTGGCTCATGCCTGTAATCCCAGCACTTTGGGAGGCTGAGGTGGGCAGATCACCCAAGGTCAGGAGTTTGAGACCAGCCTGGCCAACATGGTGAAAACCCGTCTCAACTAAAAATAAAAAATTAGCTAGGTATGGTGGCATGCGCCTGTAGTCCACGTTACTCGGGAGACTGAGGCAGAAGCATTGCTTGAACTTGGGAGGCAGAGGTTGCAGTGAGCTGAGATCGTGCCACTGCACTCCAGCCTGGGCGACAGACTGAGACTCCATCTCAAAAACAAAAACAAACAAAAACAAAAAAACATACAATGAACAAGGGAATATGGGGTTAAGTCATATTATGTTATTTAATTATTAACCTAACAGTAAATTTTGCCTTATTTTTTCTTATAAAATTGAGTGAGTTGAGGGAAGGCATTTTTGTCTTATTTAACTTTAAATCCCAGTGTCTAGCACAGAATTTTGCATTTTAAAAATGCATTTAATTTATGTCTTGAATTAATAAGACTGTAGAGGATAAATGATTGATGATGCAAACCATATGAATATGCAAAAGTGAGCAAAAATGACATGAACTCCTATCATCTGTGGTATAATGTAAAGCATGCTGAATAAGGGAAAGGGAACCAGCGCTCTAATCTCTGTTCCAGCAGTCACTAGCCCTAAACTATGGACAAATAACTTCATGAATATTTCCTTGCAAGAAACTATGCTGTCTCCGGGCATATAAGGGAAATGATCCAAACTCACAAGTAGTTTAATATTGAAAATGATAGAAAAGTAAATAAAGGATTCCAATAAAGAAGGATCTCTCAATCTCAGCATTATTGACATTTTGAACAGGATAATTCTTTGTTGTAGGGGCCTAATCTGCACATGCTAGGAATTTAGCAGCATCCCTGGCCTATCCCTACTAAATGCCAATAGCAACCAGAAATGTCTCTGGACATTGCCAAATATCCCCTGTGGGATAAAAAATCATCCCTGGTTGAGAACCACTGCAATGAAGTGTGAAGAATGTGTTAAGAAAAGAGGCCATACAGCAGGGGCAGCTAACCTAGTTTAGAAGAGTCAGGGGAGGCTGCCCAGAGAAAGACTGTCAATGTTGAAATGAGAAGGAATTAGCAAGGCAAAGAAGGGGCAGAAAGGGACAATGGGAAAGAGCATTCCCAAGCAGAAGAAATAATATTGTAAAGACCTGGAGGCAAGAGAGACTTGGGTCAGTTAGAGAAATTGGAGTGATTAACACAAAAGGGAGGGAGAGAGAGAGAGGAAAGGGCATGAGATCAGACGGCAAGGGAGGCTGATGCCAGGGAGAATCAACTTTACCTTAAATGCAATGGGAAGCCAATGGTGGATTTTAAGTTTCAACCTATCTAAACTGGGGTATTGGACTAGATGGTTTTGAAGTAGCTTCCCATCTCTCACTTCTGAATGCATCTGTAGGTGTGAGTGTCTTAACATCTTACCACTGCGGTTTGCATTGCTGTTTGCATCATTTCTTTTTGATCATCTTTTAAGTCGTCTCTTATTCCAAATGTGATATAGACATCAGCCTCAGTGACTACTTTATTATAAAAATATCTGTCAGACAATAACATAAAACTCTTTTACTAACATGGTTACAATAACAGGATTCAGAGAAAATGTAACAATTTGAAATTACATAAAGCACTTGATGCACTTTAAAGCGTCTTTCATCCACTATTACATTTCATCCTCATAAAGCCACACAAATAAAGTTATGTGCTAGATGGAAAGAATTGATCTTGGGAAGATCACAAGACTTAGATCCAGGGCCCTTTCCTATAGGCCAAATTATTTCCTTGATGATTTTAATATCACTGGGGAACTACTCTCTATTTTCTTTTATGTCTTTAAAAGGTACATGTCCAATCTCACTGTTATATGAGATATACTCTTCATAAAAAATTCAAACTGCATGTTTTCCTTTTAAGTTTAGAATTAAAGTAAGAATAAAGTAAACTTTCTACCCAGCAAATAATACTATAGCAAGAGCTAACTTTCCTTATTTATGGTTTGAATAAATAGTCCCCATTATAGGAAGTCAGCTTCTATAATTTTCTCTCAACTGAGCCTTTTATTCTTGTTTAGACCAAGTAATAAACATTCTATTTTCCAAATAAATGCAAATAAGAAAGTCAGCATAGGGTGATGTTTGAGGCATGGACTCTGGAACCAGACAGGCTGCGCAAATTACTAGCTGTGTGATTTTGAGCGGATTATTGAACATTTATGTACTTCAGGTTTTTTTCACTTGTAACATGGGGATAGTAACAATATTAATGCATAGAGTTGTTATAAAGATTAAATGTGCTGATTATGCTGAGTGCTTAGAAGAGCGCCCCACACATATTTATATAAATTGGTGTAACTAGATTATATTGTCATTTTTAAATGACAAGCTTTTGTGATAGGCTGCTTGAAAAACTAACCTCAAATTCTTTACTTCTCCATGTATCCACAACCTTTGTACAGTTCCTTCTGTCCACAAAGTGTGGGGGGAGTCTATTGCCTCTGGGCTGACCTTGTAATTTGCTTTGGATGAAAGAATGCATGGAAGTGATGGTGTGCCAGCACCAACCTAGGCTTAGGAGAACTTTTATGCTTCCATTCCCTTTCTTTGAGCACTGCTGCTGCTACAGGCTAGCCTGCTGGATGATGAGAGGCACACACATTTTTAGCCCCATCCAACTACCAGACATATGGACAGGACCTTCCTATACCAGCCAGCCCCCAGCTGACCTACCAAATGGCTGCAAGTACATGGGCAAGCCCAGCTGACACCAGCCTGGCCCAGATCAGCAGAACTTCTCAGCTGACTCATAAATGGTGGTAGTTTTAAGGCACTGGGTTTTGAAGTAGTTATGCAGCATTAGCTGGCTGATTAAGTCATTCAAAATCACAGGAAGTGAAGGCTTCATATCTCAGTCCCAATTTCCTAAGTCATCCTAGTTTCTAAACACACACACACACACACACACACACACACACACACACACCCCAAGCCTAGATCTTTGGCACTTTTCTTTTCTTTGTTTTTGCTAGTGAGTAGCCAACAAAGCTAAAATCAGAATCAGCTAAAATCAGAATAAGCAAATCAATTATCAGCATGATGTCTCCTTTATCAATTAGTCCCCAAATCATAGCAGACTTTGCTAATAAATCACAGATCTCACTTCGGGCACCTATCATCAACCAGAGTTGAGTTAATTTGAAAAACAACAACAACAACAACAAAAAACCCAAATGTTCTTACCTGGCTTTTATAGTAATTTCAAAATTCTTAAAGTTCTTATAACCAATGAAATTACTTTCTGGTTCTATTGAGACAGAAAAATGTGGCAAGACTGAAAATAAAAACAAAGAGGCAATATTACCATTTTTATTAAAGGAGACTTTAAAGCCTAGCAAACAGCTAGACTTTCTGGTATATTTGGACAAGCTGCAACATCAATACAACATCCACCTTATCATCATCATCATCATCATCATCGTCATCATCAATATCTCTGCAGAGCCTTTTTATTCCACCAATCAGAGGTCAATCTAGAAGCATTTTGCCTATATTTTGATTACAGCATTTACTATAGGCAATAGATTATTTCTTCCATTAGAGTATAGTCTCCTTGAAAACAAAAAGCTTTTCAATAGTGACATAACATGATGAGATCTGCATTTCAAGATTATTTTGGCTAATATCAAGCAAGATAGCTTGGAAGCAGAGACATCAGTTACAAGGCCTTTGCAGCAGTCCATTAGGGAGACTACTGATAAATCAATGAGAGTGGCTGCAGATAGTAAGAGGTGAGTGGATTCTAGATATACAGAGAAAATAGCAAAGACACTTAGAAGAAGGGAGATGGGTTAGGATTATATGTTTCAGAGAGCCTGTAATATTTAAGGTTGAGTTTCATCATAACGAATTTGTTTGGTCACTGTTTCCCTTGTTAATTGTTAAAATTTGTCAGTATTTATTCTTCTCCATGTCATTATGAATCTCTTGAGGGAATAAAAAATGGCTTCAAGCAGAAGAAAGTTAACTTTGGTAGCAGAGCACACAGAAACGCTAGTAAACTACTATAAGAAAAGAAAAATTAAACTATTTATATTACTTGTTAGTCTATTAATATAATTTATTTCAAAATAAGAATATTTTACATATTCAAATTAATATACTGGGAATTTAGGAGCCAGAAAATAGTGTTGGACTAGGGGTAAGGAAGCCTAATTGTTGTTTTTGTTTTGTCACTAATTGGTTTTAAGACTCAAGTAAATCATTTATTGGTCTTACTGGGTTCCACTCACCTATTTAAGTTTCTGCTAATATAATCCCAATTCTAGAAAGGATCTTTACTAGTCAAGCTTTTCAGGGGACTAGATCTCTTCTAGCTCTCTGATGGGGAACACAAGTCCACAGAGGTTGGTCTGCTTGCTCAAGGCTAAAGGCATGCCGGAACTAGAACCCAGGCATTCAACTACCACTCCACCCTCCAACCTCTAGTCAGTACTTCTAGCCATACCAGCGAGCTGCCTCATCTTCATCTAGGAATAATTTTGCATTAACTACATTATTAAAAAGAATTATTGGAAACACTAACTTTTTATAAGAAAACTTTTAATTGTCAGAAATTACCATATTCTTTAACTCCAAAATAGGCGGTTCCAGTTGTTGAAAAGTCCTCTTTATATTTAGCCTGGATCGTCCACACACCATATCTGTGGAAGCAAAATATTTTAAATTACAGATGTCATCAAATGTTTTTAATTCACTCAGAGGAGATCTAATAAATTTCTGTTTTAAAGAGGGAAGAATACACAAAAATATATAAAACCTAAGTAATATATTTTATTTGTGACTGATTTTTAAACAATAAGTAATTGAGCATTTTTAGGATAATAGGTAACAAATTGTTTAGTAACTAGTTTTTCATATATTGTATAATTTTTCCTGGTATTTTATCTTAATGAAGTCATTAGTTTTGATTTGAAGAGCTTATGATTTCTGAGAATTTATTTAATCTTGGAGCCTAATTATGCTAACATAATACTAAAATCCAAAATATAGTACAAAATCCATAATAATGTCTCGAGAAACATATAATACAAGTTTATCCAGATGATAAAATTTATACCTCACAAAAATGAAATTATGGTTGGAAGCAAAGCATGGTTTTTTAAAGACAAAAATGATCTGGCTTTAATTAACAACCTTTATTAAAATATATATACTAGGCCAAGCACAGTGGCTCATGCCTGTAATCCCAGCACTTTGGAAGCCAAGGAGGGAGGATCGCTTGAGCCCAAGAGTTCGAGACCAGCTGGGGCAACATGGTGAACCCCTCCTCTACAAAAAAATATAAAAAGCAGGCTGGTGTGGTGGTGTGTGCTTGTAGCACCAGCTACTTGGGAGGCTGAGGTGGGAGAATTGCTTGAGCCCAGGAGGTCAAGGCTGTGGTGAGCCAAGATGGTGCCGCTGCACTCCAGCCTGGGTGACAGAGTGAGACTCTGTTTAAAAAAAAAAAGTGTGTGCGTGTGTGTGTGTGTGTGTGTGTGTGTGTGTATGTATGTTTATATATATATATATATATATATATATATAAACATACATACACATATTGAGGCTACCTTTCAGATTGGCTATGCAGTCTACAAATTTTAATAGTATTATAATAATAATTATTACCATCATCATCAATTCAATGAATATTTATCAAGGGCCTATTATGTTGAACTGCTGGTGTGCAATACAGACAAGGCCTGCCTTAAGGAGTTTATAAGCTAGTGGGGAATAAAAAAGCCAGCAACCAAGTAAAGAAATAACTATGACATTGAGATAAGTGTCATGAAGAAAATAAACAAGATGCTGAGATAGGGAGTAAAACAAAGCAAGAGATTACATTAGATCGTGCATCCAGAAATAGCCTTTTTGTAAAGGCAGCATCCACTCTGGGTCATAACAATGAAAAGAAGCCAGGCTTATGAAGAGCCAGGTGAAGCCCATTCTAAGTAGAGGGGAAGACATGTGCAAAGGTACAGAGGTAGGAAAGCACTGGACATGCCAGACCTTCATGGCTGGCACATAATCTGCCATTGGGCAAGTGGCACAAGATGAAGTTGGAGAAATGATAACAGTAATAAAATAATAGGTCCAATTCTGCACTATGGACCATGTAGCATTTTTAAGAATGTACAGAATTTTAAAAACATCCAAGTTACTTAAATCCCCTAAATTCAATTCAAAGTTTTAGAAAAATTTTAGTACAATGAATTAACTGTGAACTCCTCTTTAAAGGGCAGAGGAAAATGACCATAAAAAGATGTTGCTCTAAAATTATAGTGCAGTCATGTATAGGTACACTTGTCTTATTCATTCTGCTCTGTTATATATATTTTTTCTTTTTTTCTTTTTCTTTTCTTTTTCTTTTTTTTTTGAGATGGAGTTTTGCTCTTGTTGCTAAGGATGGAGTGCAGTGGTGCGATCTTGGCTCACTGTAACCTCTGCTTCCCAGGTCCCAGGTGCAAGCGATTCTTTTGCCTCAGCCTCCCTGGTAGCTGGGATTACAGGCGCCCGCCACCACACCTGGCTGATTTTTTGTATTTTGGGTAGAGTCAGGGTTTCACCATGTTGACCAGCTGATCTCAACCTCCTGATCTTAGGTGATCCACCCACATTGGCCTCCCAAAGTGCTGGGATTACAGGCGTGAGCCACCGCACCTGGCCTATGATAAGTTTCTTGAAAGCAAGGACTGTGGATTCTTTATTTTGTATTTCTCCCTCCTATTGTGATTTGCACATACCAAGAATTTGTTCACTGAATATTTATTACACTGAATCCTCTTAAACTTTTTCTTAAATCCTTTCGTGTGAGGCCAAATAATAGATATACCTCTGAGAACTCCTTCCCTCTTGGACTTTGCCTGCTGGTAGTTTATCCAGGCAAAAACTACAGACGACCATATTTTATAGTAACCAAAGCAAGGAACAAGACCACACCAGTCTTTTCAGCTGACAATCTATTAGATACTTTGAGGGGCAGAAGTTTATGATTTTGATGAGAAAAAAACCCTGGGTACTATTTTTTTCCTCTTCCAAATTTTTATTTCTATATGTAAAAAGAATGGGTGAGAAGTATTGGAATTTTTTTGCCAGGAACAGAGCTTAAGTTCTCGCTAGACTTCAAAAGAGTTTGCATATCCACATATGTGACACCCTTAATTAACACTAGGTGGCTCCCTTTAACTGGCTATCTGCTTCTCCACCAAAAGTTCCATATGTGCTTTTAGAGAAAATTTTATTGACAATTATTTTAACATACTTAGGATTAGATGGAATTTTGAAGTCAGGAAAAGAGATAATTCCAGTGTAATCAATTTCTTCCACCATGTCAACTTCTGATCCTTCAGGGTCCTGTGAATGAAACAAACACCCTCAAAAATATTTTTAGATTAAATATTTGAAGGCAAATACCCATGTCTTCAAATTAAATATGAAGGATAAAGACCAATTAAATATTATAGAAGGGAAATATGGTTAATTTCAGCTATTTCCCTTGTTCTTTTTCCAGTATTCCCCATCTCTCCTCATTACCTTGAAGAGACTCAACTCTGTTGTACATCTAAAAGATGAAGTGTAACATGTGAAAACAACAAAAAATTTGCAGGGCTGAAAAAAATAAAGAACAACAAACAAACAAAAACTGAGGTTTTTGATAAACTAAATGTGAATTTGGCAGGCTTTATAAATACCAGAATCTAATTTTTATATATGTTCATTTGAAGCTTTCAAAAGCAAATATTCTATAAACTATATTTTTTATCCAGATGTTTTATAAGTGTACAGTATGGGCATTTTCAGCTTGGTAAAACCCTCAAATGGTTAAACAAACTTGATAGTTCTCATAAAGCTTCCCCATAAACTTTATCTTGTGTTTCGGTGAGCAAATTATTGAAATGAGGTTTTGACTTTCTTTGGACTACACAGAGAGGTCCAATTCAGCTTTAACTCAACATATAAACATAGACAACATAAGTGAGACCCCTATCCTGTATAAAAAAAACTTTTTTGAGACAGGGGCTTTGCTCTGTCACCCAACTTAGAGTGCAGTGGTATGATCATAGCTCATTGCAGCTTTGAACTCACAGGCTCAAGCAATTCTCCCACCTCACCCTCCCAAGTAGCTGGAACCACAGACATATGGCACCATGCCCAAATTTTTTTAATTATTATTTTTTATTTTTAGTAAAGATGAGGTCTTACTATGTTGCCTAGGCTGGTCTCAATCTCCTGAGCTCAAGCAATCCTCCCATTTTAGCCTCTCAAAGTGCTGGGATTATAGGCATGAGTCACTGTGACCAGCCTACAAAAATTGTTTAAATAGTTAGTAGGGTATGGTGATGGGTGCCTGTAGACCTAGCTACTCAGGAAGCTGAGGTGGGAGCATGGCTTGAGCCCAGGAGTCTGAGGCTACAGTGAGCTATGATCACACAACTATACTCCAGCCTTGATGACAGGGCAAGGCCCTTTCTCAAAAACAAAACAAAACAAAAACCTGAACACAAAAACTTAGCACTATTTAACATGACTGAAATTCACAGTTGGATTTAAGAGATACTTTTTTTTCTTAATTAATTGTAAAACTTACAGAAGCCTATTTTGGACAAGAATTACACTTGTAGCTGATTATTTTTATGGCTATTCTTCATCCCACTATCCATTGTGCACAATTCTTCCAAGGTCATCTTTCTCAGGTACTATTTTCGGGATACTTCCTCTATAGTAACTCCTACAGGTCTGGGATCAGTTTCCTCAATCCTTTCTTCTGGGAGCAGCTCTTACAAGTGATGACTGGCATTCATTTTTCTCCACATTATGCCAGGATTCTGCATCACTCAAGTTCAACTATGAAGACACTGGATCAAGAGTATATGTCTACACCCCTAGCATTCTCTGATAGAAACAGGGCATTTGAGCTGACATTGCTCTCCTTAGTTCTCTTTCAGATACTCTATCGGTCAATCAGTTTATTTACTAGCTTTATTTTCTTTCATTTCTTCTTGCCCCATAGCTTAACTGACTCTGTTTCTTACACAGGAAAGTCTTCACTATTTTTAAATAATTTATGTCAACTCCTTTCATTGACACCTAACCCAGGGTTCACTTTATCTACTGCATTCCAGAGAAGGATTTTTATATCCCCCACTCTCACATCTCATTGGTCTTCCCTCTGAGCTCATGGTATTTGTCCTATTGAATAATTTATTTATTTGGTTTATATTTTAGTATGGTTTTGTTCGCTAGTACCTATTCTTTTGCACATGCATTCTGATAAGATTTTTTTTTGTTTTTTGTTGTTGTTGTTTTGCTTTTTTTGAGTAGCAGAAAAAGTGCTGCCGCCTATATTGAAGGACCATTAGAAAACCTACTGTTAATAACTGAGCAGTTATAACTAGTTGTATTATTTTATTTCCTTACAAAAATGTTTGAGATGTGTGACACAAATTGGATGAGATGGTGGGAGTTCAATGCACATCATCTGTTATATATGTCATGTCTGATAAATGGTGAATAACTGCTGATCTTTAACTCATGGTTTAGCAAGATTTTTTATGTGTTAGTATATTAGTTATTAAACTCTAAGTTTCTTAAGAGTAAGTGTCATGAAATATAATTCTTTATTTTAAATTGTACAAGTCAAAAATCTTGTACATAATAGATACATCATAGATATATCCATTTTGTATATCTTATAGTTAAATGGATATTCAATCAATTCTTAGTGATTGGTGGATTTCTTTAAAAAGGAAATCACCAAGGTTGTATTTTAATGGTTTAGCTCAAAATTCTTCAAGTTGTTGAAATTTAATTTTTATCGGCCTTTCACATACATATATTACAGAGGTATAGATCTATGATACTATATTCATTGCAGATGTTCAATAACCATTTATGGAACACTGACTGATTCAGTGTAGTGTGAGAACAGGGTTATAAAATGATATTCTTGTCCTGAAAAAATGAATTAAAGTATTATTTAAAGAAATGAAATACTTACTATGAAAGTTAAGACAGTTTCTCTTTTGGCTGGCTTCAAGTCATCATTCAATGAATAAACTCTAACCTTTACTGTAAGAATAATTGATATCATCAAAAACTGGTAAACACAAGGATATTTTGATTTTTTAAAACATCCATCCTTAAAAGAAATGAATCTTCCTTTTAAAAACTCAATATACAAAAGTCCATGTTTGAAAGAAAGAAAAATTAGTTTGCAGACATATACATTACTAAAGATTCTTTTATTTAAGAGAATCCTCTGGGATTCATTTAAAGAACTATTTCTCTTAGAGGATTTAAAGTACAGTTCACTTTATTAAAATGCATTTACCTACAATGTTTTGAGAACACATCCACAGTATGAAATTAATTACATCTGTAATTAGGCCATTATTTATAAAAAATTTCATAGTAGCAAAACAGTGACGTCCACCATATGATTATAGGGGAACATAATACAGTGTCCATAATAGAATTGAAGATTTTAATGGCAAATTGGGAGTTTAATTCAGACATACACTCTTTCCCTTATGAAAACCAACAAGGCTCCAAGTTAGCTCTTACTACAAAAGGCAGCTTTGAATTGTACAGTTTTGTTATATTTATTGAGCCAGATCCTACAATTGTTCTCTCATTGTTAAAAGAGTAATGGCAGGGGCTCAATAATTGTAAGTTCTTTTCCATTTCTTTCTGTCAGTTAATAGACCCCTACTTTTTAAACAAAAGCATCTGTTTCACTTTTAACTCACAGCTGTTTGAGACACAGAGATCTAATTCCTTCCACTGACATTCTGTAATTTCTCTAGGGTATTGCTAATGCTCAAGCCATTTCATGGCCAAAACTTCACCCAGAAAATAAAATAGAACTGGCACCATAAACCCAGTATCTTTTAAAAGATCAGGATTATGCAAAGTTCTATATAAGAAGCCACATTAACACTGGTTTTACTAAGTTCACAAGATAAAAACAATGTGCTCAGTAAATGCCCCACTCTCTGCTCTCTCCTTCCACTCACACCTGTCTCCCACCACAAATCCTATCTCCTGCTTTTTGGACACACCCAGTTCAGGCCTGAGTATCACTGGGAAGCTGCCCAAGGCAGCATGTCACAAAAGTTAAGAGCACAGGCCCTGGAATTAAAAACTTTGGTTTCACTCCTGCCTCTGCCACTTTCTAGTATGACCCTGAGTGGGATACTTAATCCCTCTAAACTTTAGTTAACATCTTGTAAAATAGGAATACTGGTGTCTGCTCATAGTGTCCTTGTGAGAATTAAAGAACACAAAGCTTTTGCATAGCCTGACACATGCTAAGTAATCAATACATGCTTATTATTTTATTTTATTATTATTTCTATGACTACTATTTGGCTAGTTTTTAACCCAGTTTGTGTTTAGGTTAGAAAATTAATCTTGTCTTCACAGTGATGGTACAGTGGAGGCAAGATCTATACAATTTTTTGTATGAAAGATATGGCTTATTAGCAGAGCGCACTGGCTCATGCCTATAATCCCAGCACTTTGAGAGGCTGAGGCAGCTGGGTCACTTGAGGTCAGGACTTGAAGACCAGCCTGGCCAACATGGTGAAACCCTGTCTCTACTAAAAATACAAAATTAGCTGGGCGTGGTGGCAGACGCCTATAATCCCAGTTACTTAGGAGGCTGAGGGTAGAGAATCACTTGAACCTGGGAGGCAGAGATTGTAATGAGCCAAGATTGCGCCACTGCCCTCTAGCCTGGGCGACAGAGTGAGACACCATCTCAAAAAATAAATAAAATAAAATAAAAAAATAAAAGATATGGCTTATTAATTTTTTTAAAAAAAGTTTGAATGCTTTCTAATGTGCCAGGCATTATGCTAGGTACTGGGACACAGTAGTGAAAGAAATCAGACATGGATATCTTTTAATGGAGTGGAGGAGAGAAGCAAATGCAATTATATGTAAAATTTCAGGGTGTAAAGTGCCACAAAGGATATTTGCCTGGCCTTATGAGCATGCAGAAGAGAGAGATTTGAAGAGATCAGGGAAAGCTGCCTTTAGAAGGGTCTGTGATGACATATGAGGGTGAAATAGAAGTTAACAAGGCAAAGGAGGGGCAAGAATGCACCGTGCAGAGGCAATGGCATGTTACACAGGCCTTAATGTGAATGGGGAAACGGTGTAAGAAACCATCTGAAAGGAGGTCAGTTTGGCTTGCATCTGTAAAGGCTGGGACCATAGGAAGCGACAAAGCTGGAGAAGAAGGCAGGACACAGGCATTATGAAATTGAAGGATTTTGGCCAATATTCTAAAGTCCTTTATCCAGTAAAGACTTGAAGATTTAAGCCTTTATCCTAAAGACGCTTACACTAAAAATCCCTGAAGAACCTTCAGATTAAGTGTGTTGATCAGGACATTACAGCTATAAATAACAAGACCACTAAAAAATACTTTTAAGTAATTCTTTTTCTTTTGTGCAAATATGGCTTTGTGCTATTCCATAGACAATAATGAAAAACACTTTCTTAGTGCTTACTGTGTGCTTGGCACTATCTTAAGTGGTTTACACATATGAATTCAGTTAATTCTCACAACTCTGTGAGGTAAGTTGTATTATTGTCTCCATTTTACAGGTGAGGAAAGTGGGGGTCTGAAAGGCTGAGTAATTCACTCAAGGTCATGTAGCTCACAGCAGCTCAAGCTGGGATTTGAACCCAGGCAATCTGACTCCAGAGTCTGCTTTTAACCATACTTCACTACCTCTCAGATATGGGTCAATATTTATAGGAAATGTCTCTTATTTTCCTCTAGGATTAGAACGGATATGGATATTAAATCTTTGTTTGTTTGTTTGTTTGTTTTTGTTTTTTGAGACAGTCTCACTCTGTTGCCCAGGCTAGAGTACAGTGGCACGATCTCACTGAACTT